TCCTAGAGCATGTATGTACCAAGTTTTATTCAAATGTGATGATCAATACTTGAGATATCAGTATTAATTAATTAATTATGTTAATTAGGTGATTAAGAAGCATAAATATTTACCAAAACTAATATGGTGTATAGTCCTACACATGTAGGTTCATTGAAATGTGATGAGTACTCTTTAAAAGTTTCATTAAAATTCAATGAGTGGTTCTTAGGACAAATTAACTAATTAAGCAAATTAGTAGTTAATATGCACAATAATTTATCCTAAAATTAATCAGGTCTCTGCATAGTCCTAGAAGATCTATGTCGCAAGTCTCATTGAAATACTTGAGATATCAGGTGAAGGGCTGAAAATTAACTAATTATGCTAATAAGGTGATTAATATGCACAAATATTTCTCCAAAAACTAATTAGGTCTCTGCACAGTCCTCAAGTAACAATGTACCATGTTTCATTGAAATGTGTTCATTACTACTTGAAATATCAATAGCTGAAAATTAATTAATTATGCAAATTAGGTAATTAATATGTACTGATATTACTCTAAAAACTATCAAGTCTGTGCAGTCTCATATGACATCTATGTACCAAGTTTTATTGAAATGTTATGATTAGTACTTGAGATATCAGTGGAAAAGCCGAAAATTGATTAATCATTATGCAAATTAGGAAATTAATATAAACAGATTTTTATCCAAAACTAATGAAATCTGCGCATTAGATCAGAGCATCCATGTGCCAAGTTTCATCAAAATCCAATGAGTGGTTCTTCAAATATCAGTGGAACAGTCATGGAACAGCTAAAAATCAGCTAATTATCATGCAAATTAGGTAATTAACATTCATAGATTTTTACCAAAACCTAATCAACTCTGCGTATTATCCCAGAGCATCTATGTACCAAGTTTCACCAAAATTTGATTAGTGGTTCTTGAGATAACGGTGGAACAAAAAAAGTGACATACATACATACATACAGACAGGGTAACTGCAAAGACTCCCTTTTGTGCTTCGCACACGGGAGTCAAAAACCAAGATATTTACAATTTCAAAAATTAGAATTTTCTTTCATAATTTGCCAATTGAAAAAAGTTCTAATTGTAATATTTCACAAAAGCAGTGCATTTGACTTAAAAATTGTGTGACATTAACAAAATTGGTGTGTGTTCCCCTCCTGGTGCCGGGGTTATGTTCTCCGCTGGTGCCCAGGTTTTGTGTTCCCCTCCTGGTGCTCGGGTTGTGTGTTCCCTCTAGTGCTCGGGTTGTGTGTGTAACCCCTAGCCCTGCTAGTATACCCCTCCTACCTACCCGCTTTACAAACACTTAATAGTCCCTGGTCGAACACCGAAAACGGGGACTTATGGATTGATCTCTGTGCATCAGTGAGTTCATGTGTTTCCAGACCTGTTTCTTAGACGTACCTGGACTGATTAAATTTAAACTTCACACATACATCATATATAATATTATATACATATGCACATCAATTTGTTTCACAATCTGATTCACGATGGCCGAATAGCGGCAATTTTTGTGCTGAAAAATCATCAAAATCAAGTATTTCTGATATTCTGGAACCGAATCTTGGCTGTTTACAGATGGATTTCGTTGGACATATGTTGGACATTATGGGACCTTGATGCACATCATTTTGTTTTTCAGATCAAATTCAAAATGGCTAATTGGCGGCCATTTTGTTTTAATGAATGCGATTCTAGTGCCTTATCTCTGACATCTTTAACTGACTATGTTAAAATTTTAAATATTAATTATACATCATGTCATAGATATACAGAAGTATTCAAAATGACCAACCGGATGGCTATTTTTTTCAATTAATGCTGTTTCAGAGCAATATTTCTCAATATGGACAAGTCATAATCACAATCAAGCATTAGCTTTTGAAACCATAACTCTGACATATTTATAATCCAACTATATTACTATAAACAAAACTATATATCCTAAATTCGATAACTAATGGGAACTGTGCCATGCATGACTTGACCTCAGTGTGTGACATGAATGTTTAAAATATAGAAATAACTAAAAACAAAGAAACATAACAATATGTAATTGTGGTATATTGTCTTGTTTCCTTGCAGGTTAGACAATGTTATTGTTCATGTTGGAGGAAATAATTTACGTGAGGCCAAGGAATTGGTGAGTATAGATTTGTCACAAGTCTCTCTGACACTTACTAATCTATTGTTTGTAGTTCAAATTATATCTCAATTTTATTGTATTTATTGAAATGCAGTCCAAAACAGACTTGTGTGCGACTTTTCGTGGACATGGCTCGTCCAAATATAGTATTATATCATGTGTTTGTTTTTGTCTGTGTAATGTACTTTGATATGTCTTTACCATACTCTCAGATGGTTCTATAGATAGTAAATTTGTATATACATGTACATGTCATACATGATGGTTAAATGATTACAATCTAAATATTAAAAATGCATCAAAACTATTTCTGCACACACACACACACACACACACACACACACACACACACACACACACACACACACACACACGTCTTACCGTTGTTGTAACGACACACATTGGACTAACTTTTAATATACATGTAGTTGAATTAAATTTAAATATACCGGTAGTTGCGATATGAACTCGATTAAAACTCGTTCCTATATAGGGTTGCGTTTTAATTAGAGTTTAATTAAATAAAAATTAAATTTCCCGTGACTGAACATAGAAATGTTTGCGAAGCTTAGGTTTAATAAAGGGGCAAGATATGGTACAATTATATTAATATTAATATAAATTGAACCATACCTTCCCCCTATACTAAGCCTAAGCTATGCAAACTTGACTTAAATTTGATTAATTAATTAATTAATTATGAAATAGTGATGGTCATCACAATGTAGGTCCTGTCGTCAAAAGTCGGTGTAAAGTTAAA